TTTATTTCTTATATTTTATGAGACTGGTGTTTGGCCTCCTCTGCCTCCCAAGTAAGTGCTGGGGCTAAAGGTATGCATCAATATCACCCAGGCCTTGAATTCTGGTTGTGCAGTTTAAGGCAAGCACTTTTATCTGCTGAATCATCTTACCAGCCTGAGAAAACTCTCTATTCTGAGATTCCTGTGTAACCACTTCTCTTGGTTGTTCAGGGTTAAGCTGTCTGTTTTCCTAGAAAGGCCATACTCAGTGACTCTCTTGCCCATCTTGGTAGTTACCATACCATGTGCTAGGTGAGGGAACTAGAGCTGACTCAGATTAGATTCAAGGAGGGACTACGAGGTGAGGGAGGATATTTAGAGAAGTCTTTGTGGAGATGTTGAGTTGAGCATTAGAGAAATAGCATTTTCATGATGGACTCTGAGTCTTCCTTCTTTAACTTTGGAAAGGAAACCATTTATAAAATCAGTTAATTTAAAATCACATAAATTAATAGATATTGGGAGTTGAAATACTGGGAGTTGAAAATGCTTTCAGCAACAGCATTGACTACTTCAGCTCATTAAACAGGAAGTCTTATTCAAGTACTTATAAACTAATTAATAAACATGAATAATACATTTAATATCAATAATGAATTGAATCTGAGAAATTCTATATTGCATTTTTGATAAGAGTGATGTAAGTTAATGTGCTTGGTCTAAAGACAGTTTTATCTTTTTTAGCATTATATAAATGGCTTTATCCAGTGGTAGGTAATGACTTAAGAGAATGAAAAGAATCCTAAAGCTCCTGTCACTGTGTGGACAAGACTGGCCTCAAAATTGCCCGTTCTGCTCCTGCCTCCCAAGTGCTGCCATTATGAATAATTCTTCTAATTTAAATATGTGGTTCATCACCCAGAAGAACTATGCGTGTTTTTCCATGGGGTGTAAAGATTATAAATGAGCTAATTTTGTAGCAAGATCAATTCAGTTGCCATTTATGTGTTAATTACTGCAATAAGTAACTCAGGTTGCTCCCTTCCCGCCTCTGTTTTGAGAATTTAGTCAGCAGAATTAGTTTGTATTTATAGTTAGGCTGTGTTACTTTAATACTAAAATATGCTTCAGTGAGTAAAGACTGAAAACACAAGCTTTTTTTTTTTTTTTTTAAATGAACTGTATTGCTTGAGATATAGTGTAAATTTTAGAGCCAGTCCAGGTGGCTCATACATTTAATCCAGGTAAAGGAAGAATATGCACTGTGTAATTTAAGGCAAACTGCACAGATGGTTGTAAAAGTACTTCTTGACTTGTGCATCCTTACATTTGTGTGCATAGATGGAAGATCGGAAAACAGAGCTTACCAAACATTTCATCTCACAGGTGTCTGTGCTCCAGCTAAATCTAGTTACCATCAGTGGGTGAAGGAAAGGTCTCTAGCAACGGTGCAGATTTTCCATTCAGTGGGTAGCAGTCTGCATGGCAGAGTGTGCTGAGGTCAGACCTGTCCATTATTCCCCACAACAAAGGTTAGATTAGTTCTGTTTTTCTCACTCAGTAGCCCAGGCTGCCCTCCAACTCAAGTGCTGAGATTATATGTATAAGCCACCATACTCTGTATTAAATACAGTATTTTTGTGTGTGATGCTAGGGAACTCAGGGCTTTGTTAATGCTAGGCTAGTCCTCTACTTCTGAGCTACATACCCATTTCCTCATCACTGCTACCCCTTTTTGAGACAGGGTCTCACTATGAGCCTAAGCTAGCTTTGGACTCAATCTCAGCTCCTGAAGGCTGCATTTACAGGTGTGTACTACCATCACATCTGGCTAGAAAGGTTTTTATAAAAAATTTGCTTATTTAATAAGGTTGATTCTCACTCTCTTGTCATGAGTATTTCATAGGAAATTATTAGTAAAACTAAATTAAAATTTTCTCCATGGAGCTGGAGATGTAGCTCAGTAGAATGTTTTCCTAGTAAGCACCAAGCCTGAGTTTGATCTCCAAGACCACTTAAACTGGATGTGGTGACATATGTTTATAATGCCAGCACTCTGGAAGTAGAGGCAAGGGGATCAGAAAATCAAGGTCATCCTTTGATATGTAGAGAGTTCTAGGCTAGCCTGGACCATGCATGATGGCTGTCTCAAAACATTGTTTTTCCTAATGATTTCTGTGTTCTGGGTACATCTGAAGTGCAATATAGGCCCAGTGGTAATGAATGAAGTGTCATAGAGCTGTGTTGTGAGGGATCTCTGTGAGTATTTAGTACTTAAGATTTTTATCTAGTTATTTCCAACTGTGATTCACCACTTCCCTTTAACTCTTTCCAGAAAGTTAAGATCACATTGCTTCCCAGATACTTAAAGAGTTCCTGTTGATGTATAGAGCTGTTTATAGCCCTCCAGCATCAGAAAGTGGCTCCAACCATTTTTCCCATTACATCATCAACTGATGTCATTACACCAGAGCAATCTACTTTGAAGTCTTAAGTGTTGTGCCCTCCCCCCAACACACACACACACACACACACACACACACACACACACACACAC